ATATAATATGTTGCCACTCGCCAAAATTTACACAATGAAATTAAGTCAGAATTTCAAAACAATTCATCTTTTCGAGAGATCTCTTCCTTATGAGTTTTCTCATGAGTTCTTTGAATGGAAACTGACTTGTTTCAGCATTTAAAAAATGAAATACTGTTTAGACAACAGACAATTTTTTTAAGACCCAATGAGAATATCACCTCCATGTGACCGAAAACAACAAGTTTCTATTCTGAGGAGAAAATGGCTTATGTCCATGATTCAAACGTTCATTCTATATTTTATCAGAGGCTTCAAAAATATCATTTAAAGAATTGTTTAGTTAAAACATGGTTACATAATCGAAGAGCAGTTGATATCATACAAGCAATAATAGATAATGAAAATGATCTGTTTACTGTATGTCGAGCTAGTGGCAAACGTACTAAAGTGTTAGAAATTTACTATTTCAATGACGAAAAATTCAATCATTTTTCAAGTACTGTTGGCATTGATCAGATAATTCAAAATAATATTCTACGAATAGTATTCGTGTTACAATTGAAAGATAACAAACAATCAAGAGTACCCAGAACAACGCAAACATCGAAACATGACGATGAACAAAGTGCAGATAGTAGAGTAAATACATTATCGAAACGTCAAAACAAGCAAGCAATACAATTTCAAGAAGAACTAATCGAAATGGTGAAGCATCACAATCAAGAAAATGGAATGATTTCTGTTACATGCAACAAAATTGTTACTATGGCAACAGACAAAAATCAACAACACATCAACATTTTTGGCTATTTCAAACTAGTCAATGATGTAGTACAACAAATTCAAGATTTACTGAACAAATATCGTTTAACAAAATATCAGTTGAATGAAATGACCTCAATGCAAGTAAGTATCATCTCTGTTTATATCAAGTACAACATCAGAGAGAGTGGAAAGAATCTTAATGCGTAAAGCGATTTTCAGTTGATATTTCACTCACAAGTAGATAACCGAGTGATACTTAATTGTCTGACTTTTGAACTCCCGTGTGATTCTCAAAACAAATTTGATTGTATCCTGAAAAATTCAGCTTCTAATGTTTTTGTTGAGAATCTGCACAGATATTACAATAGAAATACAATGTTCGAACATTGGCTGCAAAAAAAAACGAACTATTAGAAAGGAATTCCGAGAAAATGTATGCATTGTTAACAACATTGATGCAGTACATTCAAAATATTCCGATATATTCTATATAACGCAACATATGATTAACGGCATAGTATGAAAATCCTCAATTAAATTTCGCACGAATACTATGACTATGTCTGGAAAATTCTAAACTAAAATACTAGAACTAGAGTAGTCTTCGACATCCAGAAAGATTCATCTTTGCAAGTCAGCATATTACTCAGAGCCAGCTGTCGTTTCTATTCAGTACTTGCTGTTTATATAGTCTTAATGTTAAACTTTAACATGTCACTTTAATGAACGTTCAACGCAAAGTGGCAATCGCTAGTTTCATAATACGAATCATTTCGATCATACCTACAGAAAATTTTCGAGACATAGCTGACGCGTTGGAATATCAGGAGAACAATTAAGTAGAGGAAGGGAAGGTAAATATAGTTGTATGTAGACTACCATTGAGAAATGTTGTTATCGATTGCTATACGCTGAGCACAAGTGAGTAATTTCTAGCGTAAAAGGATAATTATCATTCTAGAGTTTTTCAAAGAAAAATACAGTCATACTAGTTCTAAGTCAGTCGTTTGTTTGAATGTAGATGAAATAATCATCTTGCTACTTGTGCAGTTTATAGTTTCAAGTTACGAGGCTTTGAAGTCTAATGACAAGAAGCAGAATCTACATTATTTGAAGAAAGTAAATTGTTGACAATTTGCAATATATCACCTCAAAGCATTGCTTGATACATATAGCGATATGGCACGACAATTAGGATTTCTTCGATCTAAAATAGTTAGAGCAATGGTGATTAAAAGTATACAAAACCACGTAAACTATATTAAAAATGAGCAAACGTTTACGAAGATTGGCATCATATAAGTGGAGCAGTGACTAGGGATCATCGACTCCGGTGAACGTGACAACAGACTAATAATTATATCAATCCTTGCATTTATACGATCCCGTATATCTCATCAAAGATATGATTGAGAAAAAGTCAGAATCATTTAGCATCCATAAAATATATGCCAGGATTGGAGTACGAAGAAAACAAGTTCACGCATACGAAAGCATTATTTTCCTTCTACGATGAAGCTCCTCATGGATCAATATAATAGTCCGTCTAAATTTTTAATTAAGGAAAACGTTTTTGAATTTGTTTTTTTTATTCAGATCGACTATCTTATAAATGTCTGTCGACCAGAATTGAAAGTGATTGAGAAAGAATTTCAAAACGATCGTGCACACTTCAATATTCGACAACGTGCATTTAATGCACCACCACAATTGAAAGATGAAATTGAATCTCGGATCAACACTTTATTATCACACATAACAACGTGTACATTCAAAACAACTGAATTCTATTATGATATTGCCAATCGAGCAAGCTTAGTTGTTAAAACCATTGCTCAAAATAATCGTTGCAATTGTGATCTTAAAATCGAAACAACACTAAAAGCATGTACAATACCAAAAGCAATTGAAACTGCATCGACGGCTTATTCTGTTTCAAAACGAATAATTGAACAGTCCGATTTATTCTGTTCATCATCCATGGTTCACCGACAAGCAACATTAGCTAATGGATCATTTGAAGTTCTTATCGGCGATATAGCTGCACAAAAGGTTAGACAACTATCTGACAGATGTGAAATGAATCTATCACTTTTTCTTATTTCTCATTAGTAAAGTCGAAAAAGATTTGTGAAAGTTCTAAAAAATTAATGTATAAACATAATTATGAACGCTTCTTGATATGTACACTTTAGGTCGACACAATTGTTATTCCATCCGTATCATATGGATTAAAGGAAAGTCTTATTGAACGAGCTGGGGAAATTGTGCAACAACCATTGGAAAAAAGTGGCAAGAATTCACTTTCATTCATTACTGAAACAACAGCTGGTAGATTGTGTTGCAAAAAGATTCTATTTGTAAATTGGTCATTATCAGCAATGATGGTACCCATCAATGGAAATAGCTTACGTGAATCTGTGCGAAAATTCATATCGAAGGTCATTCAATATATTGTCATGGGAGATAAGCATTCGAATATGGAAACTCAATCAATTGCATTTGCAGTTCCTGATTCATGCAGCGACGAAAAAATTGTAGCCGAGGAAATGATCTATGAGACACAGCGTCAAATTCAATCCTTAAAATCAACATGTTTAAAAGTCTCATTCATTCTCTTACCTGACCAGCAAACGTTACATCAAGAATTTTTAACAGTAATTTCAACGATGGAAATAATTGATAATAGTTATGGAACTCTTTTTTATCCAACATCAAGTAAGATAGTGTTAAACTGCCTTTTGACTTTCTACTTGACATACTCATTACAAACAGTAACATCATTAGACGAATGTTTGTAGCTCTAATTTTTTTGTATTAAAAATTTCAGTCGTAGTGGAAATTCTAGTATTGTCGTCTGCATCTTTACACTTTATGATTTAGTCGTATGCTAAGCAAGTGTAAAAGAAGACTTTTTAAGGATTTGTTGGTAGGAGTGCATGTGAGGCAATCCCCAAATTCTGAAATAGCAAGAATTTTAGCGAGACACCTGTTGTTCAAAATCGACTTATTTTTTATAGTTTTGTGAAATTTTATTGTGCGTAGAAGACTACTTAGAAAAATACCATCATCTAGAGATGCTATTTCTGTGGTCTATTCCTAGGAATGGGGAACGCGAGATAGGTTCCCATTCTTGGAAACTAGAACACATAACAGTCTCCCATAAAAAGGTAGACGAAAAAGACGTATAGAAACCTGAATATATATAACGAATGCTAGAGCACACAGTCTGAGATATGAACGGCATAAATTCATATGCAAGTTGATTATCATGAACATTATTAAAAAAAAAACATGTTTTCTTAAGTTGTTGCTTGATTAAATTCAAGATTCCGAAATATGGCTTCCAGGTTTCGAGAGTGAAATGCCTGCTGAGCTCTAGTTTCTGTTGCTCGTGATACGAGAATTTAATCTTCCTACAGTTTGATAGAGATCATACATGGAAGTTCAAGAATATGTGATAGTATCAACGACGATTATTTTGATTCAAAAGCTTTTCTTAAGGCTGAAAGATCCAAAAATATTGGATACAATCTGAATAAAATCTGTTCCGTCCTATAAATACAATTTTTTCAGTTCAATACATATCACATTCATCATACAGAGTGATGATGGTCTCGAGTTATTTCCTTGAAGAGTTCGATAGAGAATCGTTAGCTAATCGTGTTGAAAGTACTTTTTTGTCATTTGTTCTAGCTATTACAATTACACTGACATCATCAAAGCAAGTATATTTACTAAAGTGTCAGGAAAAAATAAGCAATTATTTGAAACGATGTATGGCTGAAGTAGAGTTGGATGGATTCAATGATTGGAATCAGTATTTGATCAATGCCTATTATAAATATTGTAATGATAGATGCATTTTGCCGCAAATTAGCAGTGATCAACGAATCAAACTAAAAGGTTCGATCATTGGTATACACGAAGCGAAACAAAAATATCGCCTGACAGTTGCACTAATTGAAGAAAAACAACACTTACAACAATTGTTATTTGAAACATCACTCCCGATGTCCACTATTCAATTTCTAACATCAGATCTTACAGCAACAGCTGAATCTTCCATATGTTATAATGTCATGCTAAGTTATTGCCAAGAGGACTCGGTTGCATGCCATCATTTAGCAAATCATCTCATAGATGAAGGATTTTCCTTGTGGCTTAGCTCCAATGGAGTAAGCAATCACAGTGATACATTGTCTCAAATAGAGAAATCTGATTGCATTATTCTTTATATCAGTGAAAATTATTTTGAGGATGAACATTGTGAAAAAGAAGCAAAGTATGCCAGTCAAATTAGCAAACAAATCATTCCCGTCACAATTCAAAATTGCACACCAGTTGATTGGCTACAACAACTACTAGTGAACCGTTCATATTTTCAAATGTTCGGGTCGGAAAAGCAGTTTGATCTAGTATTTGACAAATTACTGTTAGAAATAGTGAGTATCATGTGTTTTAATATTCCATTGAAAAATAGTATGTAGCATGAATATTTTTGGGTAGATTTTCAGGAATGAGAATGAATTATTTTTGTCGTTTACAATGCTTTGGAAGAAATTTGAACATGAAGAGCTTAAAATAGAATATTCTTGGGCTGAAATAAGACATTACTGGTTAGATTAGACTGAATGAAACTAAAAAATATAAACGGATTTAATGCTGCTAGACTTTTCTTTTTAATTAACACCTATTATTCAGCTTTAGACTTTATGACCAGGATACTTCATAAAAGTCAAATGTCTAAAATTCTGCCCGTAAATAAGTATGGTGGTTCATACAAACTCTTTTCCATTTTAGTATGAACTTCTAATGTCAAATTTGACAAAAAGGGCGAACATTTGATAGTTTTTCAAGAAATGGAATCTTCTTGAAAACTATGTACTTCTGAAAATCAATAAACATAGTTATAATTCAAATTTTCATGATAATCATTAGTCATTGATTGAAAGATTAATAATAAAGCTATTACTAAGAAAGAACAATATATCATCCCGGATCCTTCAAGCATTAGACTCCAACCGATGGGAAAACTTCATTTCGAACATGAATCAATGTTCATGGACGTTTTCTTATTAGTATAGCCATCGTTTGATTGAGCAGTTAACCATATTGGATATGTTTATATTTAAAGTAGAAGCTTTTAACGAAATTTCGTTGAAACTAAAGAGATGTTGATTTACTCCATCATCGTCACCATTGGCTGATTGATTTTCATTATTATTTATAAGCCACTATTTCATCTTTCATCAGAGATCTGTGTCCATGTAATTATGGATTTATCTGCAAATATAGTCAAACCTGTTATTTACATTATTTCATATGAAGTTTGACATCATTTTACTGCACGTTTTCTGAACTGGTTCCATTACTATTTGGTTTAATCACATCTAGAAAAGCAAAGGAACTACTATTTTCGCATGACGTTTATCAGTTTTTTTCACATATCTAAGTAGTTTTTTTTTCGTGTATGCGCACCCTTGTTTAGTAGTCAGCATAGAGAAATTCAGAGGAAGAACGCTTCGCAAAAAAAAACATGAGATGTTATGAAACGTTGTCCCTTGGGTACTTTCAATCGTTTTCTATTGTCGTGCTATTGTGTATGTGCATCGTGTATCATATCATAACTTTCATCTAATACATTTAGCAGCATAATTAGAGCTTCTGAAGTCAAACCAAAACTTTTCTAAGGGTTTTGTATCCATAGCGTCCATGGGCAACATAGAAGTCAGTGTGGATTCTGTGACTTTATTGATAACTTGGTTTGGTTAAGACTCTTCTGAATCATATTTCAACATTAAAATAGTTGAGTTTTATCCTTTTCATTGACTCTAAACTATTTTCTTCATGTGAGTCTCGTTTCATCTACAAACATAGTAAGTCATCTAAAATAGTACAAATAAAATTTTTCAATTAAAGTCAAATAATAGTTCGCGACTTTATATTGTATAATTTCGAATCAATATATATATTGGATATCATGGTATTGTAAAGTAATGAACGCTGTCAGTTTACTGAGAAAATTGTTGATTGTCATTCACAAACATCAGATCTTGATATATTTTAAGAACGCTAAGAATACATCATGATGAACTACATAATTAGTACTCAGACAGTATCAAGGCATTACAATGAGAAAATTAAATCAGACTAACAGACAGACTATTCAGGACATCAATGCACTTTTCACCATCTGCGCACATCTCGATGGCATCATTTACTTACATTCCAGTTTCAATTATTAGACACGGCTTTTTAAGAGATTTCTAATTATCGTGAGGTTGTAGAATTTTGTAAGAGGATCGTTTTTGCCGGTCTATAAGGACAAGAGGTTTGAACTTTTCGAAATATATACTGTGAAACAATATCTTTTGATCGTATTTCACAAAATTACTGGTAAATTTTCTATATAAATCACTTACATTTCTACCAGAGTACTTGTCCTTTAGTTACAATATACAAGTCCCCGTGACATTTCTCTAAAGCAGCAAATATCCAGTGGAACAACTATTTCGGCACAAAACCAAGTGGCTCTACATGATCGAAAAATTACAAAATTGCATAGTCCCCTAAGCGTTGAACAACGAAAATTAATTCATGAAATGAATATAGAACATTTGATTAGTTTGGGAAAACCGGAGATAGTTGAAGACGAAAAGAAAATTGTTCTTGAAAAAGCAGAAGTTGCTATACGCGAAGCGAAAGATCAGTACACAGAAGATGTGAGAAACGATCAATATGAACAATATTCTCCAAGTACATGTAAGCTTTTAAAAAATGTTTGCCTATTAGCTTATTTTACGCTTTCTATTTTGTATCGTATTCAGATAATCAAAAATATGAAAGTGAAAACAATGGAATGGAACAACAGATATGCTTAAATACTGATGGTGATATTAATAATGCATCATTGCTAATGTTGAATGAATTTCTGCAAAATCCAAAACTATCTCTTCGTCCCTATACAAAACAATCTTCACCATGGACAACTAATTCATCCACAAGTAATCTACAGGGTGTTGAGTATTTTGGACTTTTGCCTCGATCGTATTATTGTTCCTATGGAGGGTCGACTTTTTATTCCATGTACCATTCCAATGCTATGTCGAATCGAGCCATCCGCTATAGGACTTGGGGTATGTTGACTGAAGAAGAAATAAGACAACGGCAGCAGATGATTGATTCAAGCAATATGATCAAACGACGACAAGAAATTGGAAAATATTTTATGAAAAACTATAAATATATTACAGAAGAAAATTTGAAATCACATTTAGAATTTGCACAACGTATGAAAGATAACGCAAATGAATTGGCAAGATTATGTGAGATGAATATGAGTTTGATACGAGAACAATCAAAACAACAAATTCAACCATCTTTAACAGCTATATTTGCTTCATATACCGAACCTCAAGTGCAAGAAACATTAATAACAACATCGAAAAATCAAATTCCATCGAAGTTTTTGCAAAAATCGTATTGTAATTCGAACACACATTCCAAAGTGTATAGCAGAAAATCTGTCTTCAAAATTATTCTTTGAACGTGTCATATTCATAGTTAAACTCATTCGTTAAAAGGAATTTGAATTTCATCATGCACAAGATTACTACGAATGCATTTCACTAGAAACTCAATATATCACTGCAGATTCTTGCAATAAAGGATGTTGTTCGTTGTATTTTTTGAATAAATCGAGAACGATTACAACTAGACGATAAGTTTAGCACTAGGGAATGATCGATTCACATAAAGTTAAAGGATTAAAGTATTCCATCTAAGTCATGTTGTTTCTCAAAATTTTGTGAAGTTAGAAGCCATATCAAAGTACTGTGGTCAATATTTTTCAATTAATACGATGGGTGACTCTCTCGAAGGCAACAAGATTCAAATATGAAATCGTGGAGGATGTGGGTCATGCGGAAGAGCAGACTCACACCCACATCCTTGGTATTCCATGTACAGACGGTTGTTGCAATTAGGTAGATGGTGGTTTCATTTCAGCAGTTCGTGAGAACTGAATGGAAGAACTGAATGACCAACTCAAATTCGAATGAGCTGAAACTAGTGACCAGTTCACTCCATTTGATCAGAAAATTCTGAGCAGCTCACTTCTGTGAAACTGGCGCCGATGACCGGTTCAGCTGAGTTGAATTGGAATTGTGAACCAATTCTTCCAAGCAGTACGACTGAACTTGGACTGTTCCTGCTCCGATGAGAGCGGATACTTACTTCCACGATTAATTGAGTCTGGGTTCCCAAATACGAAACAAAAGTGTTCTTTTATGGCACGAATCAGCTCTAAAATTAGAATACTTCTGACTCAGTATTGGAAACTTGAGTTTAACTAGTGATGAATCTGAGGATCGATCCTTATGAGAAAATGACAGTTCGAGCTCAGTTGACCTGGTTGGAAGAGCTGGCGTCTGGTTTCAGCTCATATGAAATCAGCTTGTTATGAATTGCAGCACCTATTTGAACTTGACCTGTTGCTAATAGTTCCAGTTCAGAGAACTTATATAAAACTGTCTCATATCTAATTGCAATGCAAATAGAGAGTTAATCCTATCCAGCCACAGAACAAGTACTCGCAAGCTGTCATATTTTATTTTGCTTTGTGCAAGTACAGAAGTATCTTGACGCCTTGCTGACTGTCTCTACATTGTATTTTGCATTACTTACCATATTTCTCAACCTTTTACACGGCATATATTACATTTTTTACTTTCTACACGCATATGTGAACAATACAGTGGTGATCAAATAAAGCGACTAAACAATTCTCATAAATAGTAATATATGTTGAGAGATTATGAAGATCGTCTGAAGATCTCAGATGGTAACAGAATAGTCTGCAATGACAAACGTGCTATGTGACTGGATGCATGATCAACCTTGGTCGTGCACAATTTCGAGTGGAGAATGCATCATTCTTTATTTTTGTCACTCACATTACTTAAGTAAGTAGCTATCCATGTACAGGACGTTCAAGCTTTCTATCCACCGATCTCTATATGTTCGTCTCACATTTCGACGATTACTCTCTGACTTTTGATTTTCGAGATGATTGCGATAGAAAATACGAATTCTCGTTTCGTGTCTTGATAGAAGAAGCAAGCGAAAAAAAACTCGAGAAAGGCTACATGAATCCTGTGCTTCACACTGCATTCATAAGAGAAAACACTTGGTACGATTATGCTAATGTTTTGCTTCGCATCGCATTAAATACCGATATCTCATTAAAAAATGAATAATCATTTTTACGGTTGAATACATAATGCTTTCGTTCAAACGATGTTAACCTTTTAGTGGAATAATTTCTTTTTCTGTCGCTGTAAATCGCAAAATTGACGTTGTCATCCAGCAGCTCATCAAAGTGAGAAAGAAAGTGAAAGGTTGTCATTGCGAAACACATTACTAAGAGAACTCATTTAAGAAGTATTAGCATGTTTCTAATGATACCTATAGTTTGATTGCTTAGTTCTTGCTTTGATACATTGCGTCTCATCAGCTCCATTTACAATTGTTATATCTAAAATCAATTATTCAAAGGGAGGTGCAGCTAACATTTGTTGCTATCTTCATTTTAATTATGTTGAAGATTAAAAATTACAAAGTTCAGAAAAATTCGTTTTAATAGATAGCTTTAAGAAAGAAAATAGAACGTCGTACTTGTGATCAATAAACTGATAATATCGATTCGATTTCGATATGTTGATCTAAAATTTTAACGAATATTTTTTGATTTTTGATTATCGATACGAATATTACGCAAAACATGATCTTTCGACACACATATTAATTAGGAGAAACAATGGAAGAAAAAAAATTGGGAAGGGCTAGATAAATGCTGTGATTCGCACAGCATTAAAAGAAGCAAACGAAGAACGACAACTCGGTTGCTTTCTATGGAGCAAGCCAATTTTATCAGTTAATCTTCTGTGAGGGATAAAGAAAAGATTAGTCTCTATTCTCTGTAGAAATTAGACAATGACTACTCCATAAATACGTCATTCATTTGTTGATAAAACTGAAAGAAATTTTGGTAATTGATTATTCATGAAATCATCTATGCATATTTTTCAGGCTCCGAATGAAATGTAGAATTGCTTGCTCTTTGATGACTAGAGACTCATACTACTAGATGAGATTTACATCCTCGAAGCCGTACCTAGCTAGAAATCTTGAAATTAATCTTGCTTCAAGTGATCGCGACTTTTTCAATGATAAAGTGTGTGATGAAAACTTTAATGTCGGTAATGCTTATCAAATTAAAGGATAGTAGAATAAAAAGGGCAAATATCGAAGCACAAAATTATATCGCAAATAGAAATTTACGACTAAACGTTGTGTGACAAATTTGAATTTTACTCTTAAGAATCAGATATTTGGATAGCTCTAGTTGTTCGCATTGCGTCATGTAAACATTTTCTAATTTCATCAACGAATATCGATGGTTGAATCTTAATATGGAACGACGTCAAGTCGTCAAGACTATTTGCTGTTCTATTCTTTGCTAGGTTGATATCGTCATCAGTTGACGATGACTTATTGCTTTTCGTCGCAAAGCTTTTCCATCGAAAATAATTTTTGCCGTAAGACATTCCCTAAAAGACATTGGTGGCGACAAACGAATAGTGTACACATAGACTGAACCACATTTCCCTTTAGTTTCGACAAATACTATCTGAACTCAAAGGCGTCGTAATAATCAGCGAGCTTCACAACTGTTTTTGGTAAAATAATTTTCGATGAAACTTATTTTCGACAGAAAGTCGTTTGACAAAGAGTAACCAATTTTGTCAAGACAGATTTATAGCAGACCTATGTAGTTCTTGTGATTGATTGTATTGGAAAGTAGTCACGTTTACCAATCATTGTCCGTACTATCTTTAGCTACGTTGAATTTCAATTTTCAATGATAGTAAGTCTAATTGAGGATGTGAATATTCTCTTCATCTATACCAACACCGATACCCACAACCATCCGCACGAGTGCTTGCAATAGCAGATATTTCAAGTAGAAGTAAAATATACATAACATCTACTGTTTTTGATGTATACACTGTTTTACACGTTATTCCGAAAAAACAAACTATAAGTAGTATACTTTGCTGAAGAAACTTACATTTTGATATCTGTACCTGCAAAAGAAGTATGTAGTATTAAATTAAACTCCATGTCTAGATAGATTATAGTAGATTGTGACCTCTTTCGGTTAATATTATCATTAGCTATATATAGCTTCTGTTCTTTCTCGAGCTCTGTTTATATACATCACTGTTTTCAATTCCAATATGAAACATACATGACTGGCTCTAGTCCTAATTCGAGCTTTTGCTTTTTATACCAATGTTCATATGGATTTTTTTGTTTCTATTTCTATTCTAGATTTAACTTTTGTGGATAAAACTCAATTAACATTAGATGAATTTTAGGGTAAAAATGAAGCTGCATCAAAACATGTTTTTTCTATAGTTGAGGAAGAAATTGAAATATTATCATCGATTGGATCTTGATCATCATCAGTTCCATCTTCTTTTTCATCAAGTCCATCTCCATCATTATTACTTGTTGAACAAGAAAAATTAGTTTCGGAAGTGAATGTTATGAATAAAAAATTTATGTGATAAGTTACTCAGTTCTTGATTCGATCATAATTATAATTTATAGAAGAATGGTAAAGTTGGTGAAAAGATGAATTTGACAATTACACGATCTAAACATCGTACTCAGTATTTATCTACTTCGGAAAAATGACCTGAAGTACAATATAAAACATATGTTGTCGATAGTTTTAGTACATGAATTGAAAGATTTACTTGATGATTGTTTTTAAACAATTCAATGGGTTGTCATTTTATGTGAATAATATGAAAAAATTTGAAGTTCTAATAGTGAGTCATACTGTTATAGAACAATGTTTTTGTTTTAAAACAATGATACATCTACTATGTTCACTATAATAAAATGTTAATTGTTCTTTTTATACATTTAGTAAAAATTTTTGTAATTTGCAAACTGCCGATTATTCTTGTAGGAAAAGAAAACATTTTCATTTGGTAAAATAAAACTTCATAAAGAGGAGAGCAATGCACATAGGCAAGCCAAAGAACAAGATTTAATCATGTTCTGCAGATCTCAATCTTATCGGCTTCTAATTCAATCAAGATAGCTAAATAAACACGCACAAACTACAAAATCTTATGATGACTTGCATATACTTAGACCAGCAAAATAATTGAATCAGCCGTATTATATCGTTATTTATACCATTAAAGGAGTTATGGATGATGTTGTTGCCAGCAGAAGTTTTCAGTATCAAGTATAGAAATAGGAAGGCTGTATTTTGTTTTATTCAGTATATATCGAGCTACTTTCATGAAGAACTAATTGAAAATTTGAAAGCAAGTCTAGTTGTCGGTATGTTAATGTTAAATCTTTAATCGAAATACCATTTTCATTCTTGTAGGTTGGATGATGAACTAGTCAACAACAAGAACAACTGAAAAAACGCATGTTGTTTATGTTCAATATGTCGAAGATAATGAAGCTACAATTTCTTACCATGGGCTATTGGACTTACAAGGTGATTCTGCTGTCAAAGATATCGTTAAAACTCTTGCTAGCTTATAAGCAAAAGAGAATATAAAAACCATGAAATTCGTGCTGGTTACCCACAGAAAATGCCTCAATATTTAAAGGTGAAAGTCATACTGATTTACTATATGAACTTCGTAAGCATTATGAAAAATTTTTAGGTACAAATAACGATGTAATTGCAAAATGACGTAATCATCCAGTTACTGACAGTTTGGAATCAAGTACGTATGTGACGCCTTCCTTCTCAATTGTTGGTTCTCAATCATAATACAATTAAACAGTAAAAATATCTATTGTTTTCTGCATCAAAATCTGTAGAGTTTAATTTTCTGTCCATTGTAGATAATAAAATGTCTATGTCTGGTTCTATCGTCAAACTCGAATCAATGATCAGTAAAATCTATTACTATTTTACCATGATCTCCAATCTACAATGTAAGCTTCGCAACTTTAATTAAAACAAAATTTTTGATGTTCGATAGTCGTCAATTCGCGACTGTATTAAACTGATAGTAATGAATATTCAACCAGATCTTCATACGTCAAAATATTGTGAAAAGATATTTTTGAATTGATTTTATTTAGAATCTCAAGCATTATTAGGATGTTTACAGAAAGCAATGTCTGATTCTTGTGTATCAAGTGGTGAACATGCATGCGTACAGAAGCTGTTAAACTCAACAACAGATAATAAATTCACTTTTTTAATACATATGCAACATGATGTTCATAAATCTGTACTTGGTAAGTCCATTTACATTTTATGTGTATCATTTATTTTAAGTTTTTTTCAATTGCACGCGGTTTGTTTGTTTTTAAACTCAAATTCAATTACGAAAATCATTTAAAAATGAATATCTTTCTCATTTGAATTCCTCAATGTTCGATTCGACCCAAGAAAGATGTTATTTCAAATGAATACCTTCAATCTGCACTCGAGTTTTTGCGAAAAAAGTATAAAAGCTTTGTAGACTTTAATTTCACCTATGTTCCCCAATAAATGAGGGTCTCTCAAACTTGGATTAAGTGATTATATAAATAGTCTTCTAACTGATTATCCAGTAAAAGAGTTTTGTAAAAACTTTATTATACTAAAACAGCCAAAGAATAATCTTTTTAGTGATCAGCAGAAGAATGTTCTGCTTTTACTCAACGTATATTCGATTTCACCAACAAATTCAACGGAATGTGAAAGGAGTGCATGCGGAACATTTTATCCTGATAATCTTATATCATATTATCTTAATTTGAATTTTTTAAAATTGTGCTGTCAATCGTATGCAAATAATGGACGATCTTGCTTAATGATCTCGACATGAGATACGTTAATGACCGTACGCATGTTGATAAAAGATGATTTATGAAGGTAAGATAGGGAAGTTCGTTTATTTTTTTTAATATAACATGTAATTATTTTTCTTTAGTTTTAGATGTCAAAAAATGGTTGCTAAAGCATTTGAGTCATGGAATAATCGAGATTACCATTGTCGCCTTCACCAAGTACAAGTTTTAATCGATGTACGTGACAATAATGAATTAATAAAACAAGTTCGATGAAATATTAAAAGAAAATTGTCGTTAATTCATTCAGAAATAATACATATAAGACTAAAAAACTCAAAGGCTAAATCAATATAATGTAAGTCATGGCTCTATATTGCTTGACTATTGTTCGATCTCTTCTTAGATGCTAATCGATGTAAAACTGAAGTATCAGAAGCTGATCCAATGCTGTCATCAAAGTGAACAATATCATTGGATCGAATAAAGTGACAACTGTTCTTGTTGGTTCTACAACGGCTATAGAATTAAATTTAGTATCAATATAGATTCTTTACGGTTCTGTTGCAATGGCAAAGATATGCATGATGACGATGATAATACTCAAGAAATTGACTGTTTTGGTAGTATTGGATTCATAAAAAAAGTAGTTATTAATTCTGTTAAGTTTGTTGTATAAATCCGTGGTTTTCTTCTGTTGTTTTCTTGTGAACACTTCATATGATGAAATTATACGCGTACTTACCCATTATTTATTTATTTAATATCAAATTATATTTCTCATTTAAGAAAAAATGATGAACCTTATATTTTATGCTTTTAATTGAAATTTAGAAGTGAAAAATCTTTAATTTATAATACGTAATTTAACTCTTGATGATTGGCTAACTTTTCGTGTCCACTATAAGTTCGTTCAGTGTAATTCAACCCCCTTGTCGCACGATGAAAGCTCGTGAGCTCAATATTGCAAGCTGGAATTTTGGTGATGACTAAAAATATTGTCAGTTGAAGACTTTCAAGTCCATATTTTTGGATCTATAAAGTCATGGAAATCAATAAAAATGAGAAAATTAGACTAGCTTCAGTATCCTAAAAATCGATAAAAAACTGGTCATAACCGGCAGGTTTTAAAAGTTCCGTCGAACCGTACTCGTGACCGACAAGCCAGCTGATTCGGTTCCAAATTTGCCCCACCCTCACACACAGAAATCCACATCCTTCTTCCTTTGTTCTTACTATTAGTGTATGTGGAATATCATAGAGTAAAATAGAATTAGTTACTGTTGGAAACTCCAAGGGCTATAAGACTTTCACATTGTATACCTTCATGAAGCTGCAGTAATAAAGTTTTTCTCGAAAGAACTCGTTAAGGGATTCATATATTAAACGAATCTGTTTCTTGCAAGCTAAATCTGCGCTGTTTTTTACCGGTTAAGTTAAAAATTTTAATCGATACGTCTCGTTGAGTTGGAGAAAATTCGACTGGTTCCAAGCATGCGATCGTTTATTATATGTTGCCTCTTTAAACTAAACTCTGAAGACTAGAACTAGTACTTAGTCATTGAAAATTTATCTTATTCTGGCTGAAAGTTAGGGGAGGATGTATCATCTTCGGAAGAAAGTCATCAGATATTTTCTGTATTAACATTGAATTCTTTCAAGAAAGCAGTCTCATTCTATTTCTGTTTATTATGTTTCATTAGGACCTAATTGATTGCACTAAGATTCATGGAGAACTTTTTTTTTGTACTTGGTTTGTACATAATTATTAGATCCTCTATCTTGATGGAATCAGCACTTATCCTAGTGTTTGGAAAAAGAAGGCACACGTGTTTGTGATCGAATATTTGTGTAAACAAGGAAATGAAAATAGCTTTTGATTATGTTGAAAACAGTGGTAGAATTATTCCACACAAAAATAAGAGAGTCAATAGTAAATATAAAAATGAATCGGCGAAAAATTGAAATATTAAATAACTTTAAGCATTTATGGTCTACCTGTATAACAAATAAGCTATTTTGGAAACCAACAATTGATAAATGCAACGTAAACATTCAGAGATCCCTAAGAAAGCTTAGATGACTAAAAATAAAGCAATTCATTTCCATTAAAGCTCTTATAGACAGTGCTTTTTCCTCATACATTTCCTTATGGCGCATAGTTATTTTCTTCCTTCTTTCTCCTTACTTTTAGGATGGTAGCAACGCTTGCTTCGACAGAAATTTCACGTTGATTTTTGCTGGTACTTCGTTACTCTTTCATCTCGACTCATAATCTCTGCCCTACCACTAACAAGCATTCCTTAGATGTTTACGTTAAATGCTACATTCAACGAGAGTTGAAATGCGTTCACACAATAGACTATAGTTTTTCTTCTTTCTATGGTCATGTTTTTCTTTGAAACAATTTTCATTAAAGAAAGAAAGGTCATCCTGGTCAGTTTTTCGCGTTACTGGTATAAAAAATTTGATAGATAAGCATAAATCACTTCTCTTGACATGTATATTTTTTATCGAAGCACAATAGATCTATACAAAGAGAAAAATACACTGTAATCTTCTTTCGTTCCTTTTATTTGTTCTTTTTTTCTTCTATTCTCTTTTTCATTTTCTTTTATGTTTGCTGAATTATTTGCTTAATGCATCTTCTTTGTCCCTTTTTTTCCTTTCTTTTTCTATTATCCCCATCATTGTGAAATTTAAACTCATCACACCTATGTCTATATCAATGCATGCATCATCCTCGTATATTTGTGATGTTGTTTTTAGTTTCAACTCCTATATTCATAAGACTTCGTAGAACTGCGATAGACTTCATGAAAATTTAAAAGGCTTTACGAGACTTCTAGATTTCGTGAAATTTCAAGACTGAAGTGTCTGCTGTTTCCTCTTCGTATAATTTATTCTTATGTATTTTGAATATATGTAAGTACTTCGGAGTGTTATATGTGAAACTATCAATAAAAAAAATAAAAGTATCGTTCATCTTCCCCACACTATTTATTGTGCAACAGTTTCGTGAGGTCAGAACCGTACGTAACACGTAATACAGAGATAGAGAGAAAATAGCTGTGAATAGTGATTAATCTAGAGTTTCGCTGAGAACTATGACAGATAATGTGCTGAAAACGATTCAAGATGTACACAATTCTACATACAAGTAATTCTTTTTCCGTGTATTTTATATATGCTTCGATAGAGCGCGAGTACCTCATTACGGAAAAGCTTTTTTAGGTCGAAAAATTTTAAAAAGATGATGGGGACCGTTTTTTATACAGAAAAAACACTCTTTTTCAAAACATGCAAAATTTTCTATTTTCTTTTTTCCAATTTATGAAAGTATTTTTTTCAAATGCAGCGTTAGAAACTCAGTAAAAAGATTATGTTAAATCGACTGCAATTGGAAAGGTATTTAGATAGTGACGATCTGATTTTCATCCAATGGAATGCTTATCAGCCATTTTTGTAAGCTAAAGGGTACGAGTGTTAATGAAGAAAAGACGTACATTCACAGAACACCCACACCCAGATAAGCATTCTATTGGGTGCTAACCAGCCGTTACCAATCCAATACTTTTCAAGTTACAGTTGATTTAACATTATCTTTTTACTCAGTTTTTCAACCTGCATTCAAAAAAAAATTCATAAAGATATGTGTATAGAAAAGACAATTACAGAACCATTCTCACCTGCATACACACATACGCACAAAATTTTGTTTAATTAATCAGTCATATGCTAAGTTTTTAAGGCAAAACTCAGGCTCAACTATTAAAAACGCTTCTATTAAATCTAAACTAGATCCAGTTTTTCAAGATGATCAAGACGAAAAAATATCAACGAACACCAGTAATAATACATATCAATAGCACAACTATTTTATGAACGTGTAGAACTCGCAAACTTAGATGCTAAACTTCTCAATGCGTGGAGGATCGAAAATAGATGAAATGCACTGAAAGAAAAAGTTTGTGGTAACGTGTTTGATATACCATTGCAATAGCAAAAATAGACCGAAAAAGAATGGAAAAAATTCTCAAAAGTAAAAATGTGCAAAAATGAAGGAAGAAATACCTTCTCGTTCCTAGTATGTCATTGATAATAATGGAGAATTTATCAATAGACGTTAAATTTATAGTATAGTTTTGTGTCTTTGAAAGAACTCGAGTTGTTGTTGTTTCTTATCAACTAATTATAAATACTACTAATCAAGAAGTAGGGATGTCGCCGAAATAAATTGCAAAAATTCATGAAATTCGATGCCGCTCGTGCATCTCTTCTTTATGCATAATTAGAGAGCTGAAACCTAGAAAAAGTTTACAATCTCACTTCAATGTGTAATTCATAAAAAATTCAGCTTTTCACGTCGAGACAAAGTATTTGAAATGTCATTGATAGTTTATCCTCAGTTATTATGAGATGCTCTTTATAGTAAATTGAATTTGTCATTCACTTTTTTTGATCTTTTCAAAATACAAGAAGCTTATGTTTCGCGCACATTGATCAAAGAATAGTAAATATCATTATTAGCCTATCCAAACATAAGTGCATATTGATTTAAAACGAAATAGTCGTTTGTGTTTAATCCAACTGTGGCATTTAACTAAGATACGTTGCTTATATCACGTTTTCTTTGACGTTCTAAATATAAACTTATTGCAATTCATTTCATGAGCCTTCATAATATTTATTGGCAAAACAGGTGAGCATGTAGACGATTGTTTTTGAAAGTTAAAACCAAATTTCTTTGCCAACAAGTGAAAAAAAACCATGTATTGTTTTCCTGCTAATGCTTATACGCTTTTTCTACCAATATTCGCTTTTTATCACCTATTGAGAGCTGAACTATAAGTGCAACTAAAATTTACAAGAAAAGTTCCTTATTTTGTCGGATGTTTTTAACAAAAACACATTTACACTTCTCCTGATACGATTCTTTGAATATTTGCAAGACGAAATCGTTGTATTGGTGAATGAAAAATTTTGAAATCATAAAAGGTCGATCGAATGATTTCAATATATGAAGAAGGTTTTGTAATAGATATAATTTATTACGTTAACAGAGATAATTTAGAGATAGATATGAAGATGCATTCTGAAATACCAGGAGAGATCTCAACAACAGAAAGACTAAGTGATTTTTATAAGGTATGCTCGACCAGTAATATTCCTCCAGCGAAATATTATTTGGCACTTTATGACTCGATATAAAATCAATCACATCGTGCCGAAGATATATATATATAATAGGCTTTATGAATTTTCAAACCATTTTATGAATTTATTTTGCTTTTGAAAATCCACATATTCAGCAGTCGTGATTGTTTCCTAGAGATACTAGAATTAATGGTAGTGTAGGAGAGAATAGAAAGTAAGAAAGATAATGACATACGTATCTACAACATTCAGACACATGTCTCGTCTTCATGCCTCCAACATTATCATTATCTCCTATACATCCAAGA